ATACTACCTTTTTTTGTTCTGACAGAAGCGGCTAAGGTCAAAGCAACTACCCCAGATCGAATTGGTAGGGTAGATAGGGAATAATAAAATTATGATGTCCGAACTGACTAAAATAAAAACAAGAACCTAAGCAAACCGCCAATGAAGCCATTAACAAGTACTCCCTCTCTTTTTCTTTCAATTAGATGCACATCCCATGATCAAATTGGTGCGATTCTTGCAACAGATAGGGATGTATTCGTGCGAAATAGCCCGCAGTAGAGGAAAAGGGAAAAAAGACGTTTTTCAAAAAAGCTCAAGATAAGGGCTTGCTCACCATAAGCTGTGCTAAGGCAGTGGGAGAGGAAAGCATGAGGGGAGAGAGCGCAACATACAAGAGGGCTAGACAACAGTCTAATGAGAGAAAAAAGTTGCAGCTGTTGCAGCTTACTTTGCAACGCCCTAGCGTTCTTAGCGGGTTTTTCCCTCGCGTTTTTTTCGTTTTTTTTCCTGCGCGAGAATACCACAATTGTGATTGTCCTCCAGAATCGATCCGACAAACCGAACAGGAATCGTTGACAAGAATGTTCCCTTCGTTGTGCCTTCAAGGAAGGGAAGGGTGGGACGAGTATTGCGAACTTGCTTGCTCCATAGCTTTGCTTATCGGCTCGTATATGACTTATGGTTAGCCACTACGCAGTAATTCACGCTGCGTGTCACCGAGTGTGTACGAGGAATCTCGCTTGTAAGCCCACACTAGCCGCCAGTAGCTCACTTTATGAAGACCTAACGCCACTGTCGCGCGCTTTGGAGCAGCGACAATGGTTCTGTGTACGCGTGGGTCTGTCCCACGAGTTTAGATTAGATTCTTCGGTGCGACCCCAACTGGGGTAGTTACTCTAATTGGAAGTTGATTTATAGAGATCAGCACATTTCATTTTCAAGATTTCCAAGTGCAGAAAGCAACCGAACATCCAGTCGCATGCTTGACAAACTACACATCTGTCAAATTCGCATTTCTAGAGCTTCACTCATGGAATCTTTTCAAACCCTTCGCTGAACGCTCTGAGGGCGCTAATTTTCGATGTTTGTAGATGCGAAATCTAAGCGAGGAACAGTACAGATTCATAAGGGAAGTAAAGCTTCGAGAAGAGCGAGTTTGATGGAGCGTCCATCGCGCGAGAAACGCAAGGCCCAAAAATGAACGGAAGCACAGTAAAAGCAGCGCTGGCTTCTGTTGGCGGTCAGCGTGGACAGGTAATTTTTCATTCTCCTGAAATGAACAACAATCCCAGCAATGTCGTGAATCTACTCAGTGAGTGGGATAGCCCACGAGTAGCACAATGGGCCGTTGCCGCGGCTCTAAAGTGCGCGACAATGACGGTAGAGTCTTACAAAGTCAGCATCTGGACGAACTACGTAGCTCACTCATTTGCTCGAAAAAGCTTATTAGGACTAACGATAAGCCTAGGCCCAATCACAGGCTTAAAGGATTTGTAAAGTATTGTATTTGTAAAGTATACTTCATAATTAAATTAAAGGAGGAATTCACGATTAGAATGAAGGTCGAAGAAAGGGAAGCTGACCTAGTTGAGGGACCCACGGACCTCCTGAGGGTGCGAACTGACGCGCAATTCGCATGGAAAAATTTGACCTCGGCGACCTATCATGCCTCAAAGCTGGCGGGTCCGGCGATCTCCGCCCACCGATCATCTGATCACTCGCCGTAGTTCAATACGTGGCGAGTGATTAGATAGCTGAGAGAGCGTAGTGTTGAAGAGGGCACAGCGATGAGAGTCGCATCAATGCTCAAATCAACGGGCAAGGAAGGGGTCCCATTTCTCGGGTTCTGGGCCGTTTCTCATGGTTCTTCCTTCTTTCGTGTACCACTCACCATCCCTAGGTTAATTTGAAATGGGTTGCTTTTTCATCGTGAATTCGTCCTTTAAGCTTAAGTTTAGGCTACAATGATCGCGCATTTTTGGTGACCTGACTCCAGTAGGAGAACTGAACGTCTCCCTTGTAGAGCAGGCCACTCACATGGCCCCGCCCCTTCAATCATCCAAAGGGAATTTCGTTCCGGGCTTCATCGACGGTTTCCCTCGCACTTTTAGTAAATTCGGCGTCCACAACTTCGTTTTCAACCGCTGTGGCTCCACAAATTCGATCTGGGGTTTTGCTTCAAGACAAGGAAGTATGTTATCTGCACGAGAAAGTATAAATTCGCGGTGTGAATTCGCTCCTCAGTCTCAGAAGTAACGGGGGATAAATTTACATCCTGCCCACTATGACAGCAAAGCCTACAACATCTCTAAGAATAGCTTTGTTTCCAAAAATCACTGCAAATTGCTCAAAAATGGCCACTTTGGCCGCCGTAAATAGCTAGACTCACTTTACTGAATTGACTCTTACTCCTTCCAGGATGTACTTGGCAGCCAGTGCCCTGGTGAGCTTGATCAAGAGCTGCTTTTGACATGCTGTAGTAAGGAAACGATGGCGTCTGAAACTTCAGTTAGTAACAGAGGAAGTGATCATGCAAGCACTCGTTCTCCTTCAAGAGAATTTCGAAAATCAAGAAAAGATCAGACAATAGAACAGAAGCTCCAATTTACACAAAACATGAACGATTCAATGCAGTGGTAACGAACCGCTATGGGGTAGTCCGGCAATGCTGCTGACCATCACAATCTCTCCCTTTGATGCAATTAGATGAGGAAGGGCAAGTTTTGTGAGCGCAAGAACCCTGAACGAAAAGGAAACAGTATAAAGGAATCATCCACTTCAAAATGCAGTGGACTTCGCCACTTTGTTCACAAACACTCTAGTGTTAAGATTCATGACGTAGTCGTAGGCCTCCATAGACTGATCGAATCCATGTGTCAATGTGTTCGACGGAGCTGTGCCACCTGCATTGTTAACCTGCAAGGCAGCATGACTATTAATTTTTTATTACTTCAATATTTTTTCATTGCATGATTCATGTCTGAGTTCGTGTCGACTTCCTTTCTTGTCCCAGTGTAAAGCAATCACGATATCAGAAATTCGAAGTTCTTGAAGGCACAACCCAGGCAGAAGTCGTGTGAACGATTCTCTTCGGTCTGTAGGATAGACCCCTAGAGGACAATCACAAATGTGGCGTTCCGTGCACGGAAACACCCGACAAGAGCGCTTGGGCCTTGCAAAGTAAGCTGCTGCAGCTGCAGTTTTTTCTCTTATCAGGCTGTTGTCTGGCGCTCTCTCATCTGTTGCGCTCTCTCGCCTCATACTCTCCTCTCCGCGCTTAGTCTCTCATTGACTTAACAACAGTCGATCACGAAGGTGTGTAAGCCCTCAAGGGAGGATTGATTGATGAAAAGGTGGCTTATCCTACTACCAGTTTAGCTCCGCACGCAACCGCGCGCATCACATGGTAGGCTTTAGTGAAACTGGACAACTTGCTGAATATTAGGTCACGTGGCTGAGAACAGTAAGATGTTTGGAAGATGTGTCACATGAATTTCAAAGGCTGTCCAATTTTGCTGAAGATTGTAGCGTAATGCGCGCAGTAGCATGCGGAATGAAATGGTACTTATCATGACTTCGTAAACATTTAGCATTGATATCGAGCTCGGATGATTTAGCGGTTTATAGAATTTCCACAATTGAAGAATCGGTGTGTAAGTGAAATATAACCAATCAATCAGCATCTAACCATGATGGAAATTGGAAATATGATGGAAATTCGCTATTGGTCCAAGTCCAGATAGTTGAGCAGCTCAACTTTCTTTGCTTCTTTAGATGAAAGGGTAGGAATGGAACATATTCACGTGCTAGGGACCTGGTTTAGTTCAATTGAGTGCACGCTCAACTGTCGCTACTTTTATCAGTACAGTTGCCGCTCATACCACTTTCTGTCACCTACATTCAACCCTCGCCACCTTGATCGCTTGCCAGTGATAATTGCAACGAAGTTGGAGAGACCTGCATTCAAACGCTCTTATCATTCCTTGTCATTTGTTATCAGTTCATACTGTTCGCAATCGGTGTCCCGGTCCCAACCTCCACGCAACGTGTAGGAGCTAATATTTACTGTCACCACGAAGGCTGCAACGAAATTAGCAGTACTCAAAATCCAAACTTCCTTATCATCCGTTATCGCTTGTTATCACTTCTGATCATCCTATCCGTGTTCCCGTCCCATCCCCTATACCACATGTGAGAGCCAAGGTTCCAATGTAACCGCAAGGGCCGCAACGAAACTGGTGGTATCCACACTTTGACGCCCCTTATCAGTTCTTATCAGTTGCTACCACATTCGTTCACTCAACTTCTTGGTCCCCGCCTCACCCCACATATCATACATGAGTGCAAACTCTCCACCGTCAACGCGAACGGTGTAACGAAATTGGTGACATCAACATTTCGACGTCCGTTATCAGCTCCTATCAGTAGTTATCACTTCCCGCCACCCGTCATCAGTGTTCACCTCCGGCCCCCTATATATCCTAGAAGTTTGAGCGCTCTGGGTCCAAAGGGGGTGAAGTTATGAATTTCCGGTCAGACACACACACAACCGCTTAGCCGATTATATATAGTAGGATATATATACGCGCTAATTCGCTAAAGTGTGTGTGTGTGTCACGAAATTCATAGCTCGAGTCACAGTAACGATAGCGCAGTGGTTCTTACATATGTTATAGGGGGTGGGATGGGGACACAAGTGGTACGTGATAGGAACTGATAACGACTGATAATAGCTGATAAGAGGGGCTAGAAAGCGAGCATCGCCAATTTCGTTTTGTCGTTCATATTGGTACTAGAGCGTCTATACTTACAAGGGTAACCCTACGTTGGTTTGAGTAACAACGGGGGGGGTCGTACCCACTTTAGTCGCTCGAAATCACGTGTGGGATTGAGGTGAAACTAAGATTTCGTGGGTAGTAGGCTGGGCGAGTGGAGGGCGCGCAGGATAAAAATTTGCCGTTTCAGCGGGCGTATATACCCCCTAGAAAAGGAAGTAGTGGGAGTATAGGTAAAAAATGGGTTGAAATGGTGGAAATAGAAGGAAATTTTCTGAGATATTTGCCGTTTCAGAGTGACTATATATCCCCCGCTCGACGGCATTTTTGGAGGAAAAAGTGGGCGGGGTTTTTGATGGAAGATGGAGATGGTGGAGGTAATGGAAAAGGGGGTCGCATCAAAATCCACCTTGGGGGAGGGGGGTCGTAAAAATTTTCGAAAAGTAGCAACGATAGGACCGCCTGGTTCATCACTTACGAAGTGTTATGTGGGTGGTCCCGGGGACAATGGTGGTACATGAAAGGAACGATAGCAATTGATAAGGGCTGATAAGGCGCGTCAGAACGCAAAAGTCGTCGATTCCGTTACCTGCTCGCGTTGACACCAGAGCAACCATACTTACAAGTGTTATGTGGGGTGGGACGGGGACATTGTTGGTAGGGTGATGGAAAGTGGTTACAACTGATAAGGGCTGATAAGGGCGTCAGAACGCAAAAGTCGTCGATTCCGTTACGTAGCTTGCGCTGACTAAGAGCGTCCCTACTTACAAATTCTATTTGTAGTGGTACGTGCACATTGTATCATTGTATGACCAGGGCTAGCTCAATAGAGTCCATAGCCATTTTGAACTCAATCAAGTCTAAAGCAAATGATAACTTCCATTTCTATCAAGAAAGCCCAAACTCAGCAAACCGCTAATCCTTTCAAGGTTCTATATAATGGTGAATGTAAATGGAAATGATAAACCTTAAGCTCACTCATTATGTAAAGCAACAGTCCCAGCAGGGTTTTACCTTCGACACTAATGGTGTGGAACGATGCGCTAGCCCTAGTCAAGAACATAAGAAGTGTGACTGAACAAAAAACTCACCTTGGAAAGCCGCTAGAAAGGGAGCTGAACGGCTTCGAAGTGGGCGTGGTTGGAATCGGCTGCAGTCCCTCGGCCGATTTCCAACCACGCCCACTTCGAAGCCGTTCAGCTCCCTTTCTAGCGGCTTTCCAAGGTGAGTTTTTTGTTCAGTCACACTTCTTATGTTCTTGACTAGGGCTAGCGCATCGTTCCACACCATTAGTGTCGAAGGTAAAAACCCTGCTGGGACTGTTGCTTCAAGCGAACCGTGGGGAAAAGGGGAATGTAGAGGGCACCACAGTGAGAAAGCCACAGTGAGAAGAATCCCTCGTAACTTCTTTCAGAGAATCGTTCCGCAGATAACGAAAACGGATTTGAGCTCAGCGTCGCAAGACGCGTCCATCGGACTACATCTCATTAAAAATGGCCGGATTGACCAATTGACCATTCCTTGTAGGCGAAAAATATGGGACGCGTCTCGCGCTCAAACAGAGCTGCGGCGCCTTTCAAGACTATTGCAAAGTACCAGCCATAAGTGGCTGATATTTTTCGAAATGAAAAACTTCGTGTCAGCCACCAATGGCCGTCACTGTTGCAAATGGGTTAAAAAATTGTATATTGGGAGCACCCCAAGCACAAATCTTTATGTAATAGTTTACCGCTCGAAAACGAAAATCATGACATTGTCAAAGTGGAGAATTGACCCTGTAAAAAGCAAAATTCTCGAAAATCACCATGACTTTCTACCGAGCATCCCTTTTGCGATATTATTAGATATTATATTGTTTTCGTTAGAAGCGGTTCCTCGTCTGCAATATCTTTCCTAAAATGTAACAGTGATTGGAACAAGCTACAAAAAATAATCGAGAAGAGCGGGGAGGGCGTTAGTTGACAGGATGTGATATGTATCGACCTGAATACATTTTTAGCACGCGATTTTTCAGGAAACAGGCACTGTCATTTTCCTCTCATGCCTGCCTTCCTAATTATACGAAAGAAAGAATGAGATGAGCGATACTCACCAATATGTCAATTTTGCCGAAAGTTTCGATGGTAACATCGATGAGCTTTTTTTGAACGTGCTCATCAGTCAAATCACCTTGTACAGCGACAATACCTTCTTTTTTCGCACCAGCATGTTGCATTTCTTTCCGTGTCACCTGGAAATCATAAGCGCTTTTGCTATCGGAGCCCCTTAGATGAATTACAAACTATCCTACCGCAAGTGCATCTTCATCTCGTCCCGTTATCGTCACTTTTGCTCCCTCTTCAGCAAAGAGGATTGCCGTTGCACGCCCAATACCATTGCTCGAGCCTAAGGTGCAGGTATGAGTAAATGTGCCTTATTCAAGGGTCGTAATCAGTACCTGTCACAATCACAACTTTATCTTGGAAACGTCCAACCATATTCGCTGAAAAACGCAAGGTTGTATGACAGCTAATTAATAAAATTTTAGAAAAACAAACTACATCAAATCATTTGTAGGCATTTTGTTTTATAAAACCTTCAATTTTGAAATGTCAGATGAGTTCCTCGGCAACCTCTGGGACCTCCCTTCTCTTGAGCTTTACGCCATTTGCTGTGCTCCCTTCTGTAAACTCGCGAGCGGGATGCGAGAAAGAAAGGGTGCCTTAGCAGTGAAAGGCATTACATAATTAGAATAACAATTTGAAATAACAGTTTTCAATTGAACAACAGTAGAATGAAGCTTAGTTGGGCCCCAGCCTTGTTGTCGGTTGACTTTCCTCCTCCTTCCCCCTCCCTCCACTGCCTTGCAGCTGACACTTCAGCACTTCTTGGGGAGATCGAGAGTGTGCTCAGTCGGTGTGTGTATTTATAGCCGTTGGGGTTAGCATTTGATTATTCATGTGCTCCTCAACTAACTGGTACTCAGACTTGTCTGGGAGGATAAAAACACTGACTTGTACATCGGCTGGCCCCCGCAAGTCATTGTATAGGCCACATCGCATTCAAACGCCACTACGAATGTACAAATGGAAGTAGAATGCGTGCCGCATCCCAAAAGGGATTGATCAACGGCAAATGCTTTATCCTTTATCCTTATTATAACCAAAAATCGCAGTTGAAAATCACCTTTCAATGGTTTTTAGGAACAGTTTACCTGCAGTAAAGGGTATAAGCACTCTCATTACAGACTCCTGTTTACAGAGGATATTTTCTATTCGGTTGCATAAGTCCATGATGGAAGATACTTTCAATATTGCATCATCTTGTTTGTATGCTTTGCATTCTTTGGACATTGTCAAATTCAAATACTTTCTACGATATGAGCAGAAGAACATCAAGGATATGTTTGCAAAGCAAGAGCTGTGCTCTAGCAAAGGTATTTGGCCGGCTGTAGGTAGGGATCGTCTGCGAAGGGGTCAA